TGCAGGGAAAAGAGAAGAACAACGGGACATTTTCTGGCTCAGACAATAAGGTTTTTGTCCTGCGATGGGCTCTGTAATCATACTCCAGATCCGTTCTTACCCAGCAGCCAGGATCACACTGTGCTGTTTTACTCAAAACAAAGTTGCTCTTCTGCAAAGAATTGGTTATTGGAGAAACTGGAAAAAAATGAAACCACAGAGTGCGGTGGCTCCATGCCTTCCATGCTACCTGCCCCATGCTCCTGCTAGGCACGTTCAAGGCAAGACCCTCAGAGGTTTCCATAGGGATCAAGAAGAGCTTTTAAACCCCCAAACAGTCCTTTCCATTCCCTTTTTTTGCCCTTGCTGCTGTTCTGTTTACAAGTTAAGAGAGCTAACAGTGCTCATGCCTGTGCAGGGGCTTTGAGCCTTTCCAGCCCACCACCACAATCACATGGATCCTGCAGATGATGGTTGATTTGGGACATCACATTATTACCCATGGCAGCTGAATGCGATGATTAAGTACTGAGGGTGTGGTATAGTACCAAGGAGAAGCTTTGAAGGGAAACCAACCTGATACACATACTCCCAACCCAAGGGCAGCACATCCCCTTGGGCCAGCAAGCCTACGAGCTCTGCAGGAGCCACCCCAAATTCACAAGCAGCAAATGCTCGTGTCCCCTCTCTGAAGGCGTGGAGGAGGGCAAGGTGCGAGGTCCCCTGGGACAGGTGTCCACGTTTGGAGGATTAGGATGGGCAGGCACTTGGCCCATCATCGCTGCCCCAGGTGCAGCCTTGCAGCACCGGGAGTTCCTGTATGAACTTAAAATCCCCTGAAGGTTCACTGTTAGGCGCCGAAATGGGCTCTCTGGGTTTTGCCTGACAGCAGCGTGTTAAGCACATATGTGCTCACGCGCTCATCAACCCGCAGTTATGGGTCTTACTCCCTAAAACCCCTGCTCTCGGCTGAATGTGCACGGGAGAAGCAGGACCCAGGGTCCTGAGTGGCCAGAACAGCCCAGCTGCCTGGACCAGGGTGGATGCTGGCACCTGGCTGCTGCCCAGCGCTGGTCGGCGAGCCCAGGGCTGGAGTGTCACCTTCCCCCGGTCCCGTCCCCGGTGTCACCCATGGTGAGCCTCGTCCTCCTGCCCTCGCCAGCGCTCCCTCATTTGCTGCACT